GCTGCTGGACCCAAGAGCTTTTAGGGAAGGGGCACATCAGATGGTTTTGCCCATGGCAAGTCTGTGCCTCGCCTGTCACTTGGATGCAAATGGTGTGACAGAGAAAACTGACCCTAGGACCTAGGGTGGCCTTTGTCCTGCCATCCATGCTGTGTGGTCCTGGGCGGGCCTCCGCCTCATCTCAGTTGATTCACCTAGGCAGTCGGGGTCTCCTTAAGATCCCTCCAAAATTCAAAACCGTTAGCTTTTTAACATTTTTAACACCAAACAGAAAAAAAGACGATAGCTATATTCTCAGAGCTTTCTATTTGCACTTTTTAATTCTTATATGCACATTTACACCATGGAAGGTGAGTGACAGCGATGATTTGATCTGAAACTCATACTTCTGTTCTCTCACTGTACTCCTCCCAACCCTAGAGTTTTAATACACTGTAAATAAGATGTTTCCCTCAGTATATTTATTCATAGATAAAAATATTTATTTCTTCCTCAACTGGTTTATCTTTATTTGATCTACGTAGTTTGTGTTTGCTGTGGGTTTGATTTAATTGGTTTCATTGATGCAAGGATACACCTAGAGTTCCGAGAATGAAGGAGTCTTCTGTAGGGGAAAGTCCTTCTTTAGTCAGTTAATACAATTCAAACATGGAAGTGCTCTTGCTCTAGTAGATTCTGCTGTGGATTGCACAGGGGAAAAGCACTTTTTGCATTTTCTGTGTTCTGCCATTTCTGTTTCTTTCCCATGGGCAGTAAGGGCCATCCTGGCTAAACTCCAGGCCGAAAGGCTTTGGAGGCCTCATGTGCTGCTGTTTCCCCTTAGACCCCAGGATCCCCATACTCTACCCACCCCCACCCCCATGATGACTGGACCGCCTTAGTTCAAACAACATCTCCATTTTAAAGCCTCATCACTCTGGTAAGGAATGGAAGGTTTTGTTTCTGGTTAAAATGCCAGTCAGCTGATGGAAAGGGTGGGTGAATCAATGTGGCCGTGGGTGAAGGTACCTCCTTGCTTGCTTACTGCTGGAGGCAGCGATGATTGCGGGTGGGTGGGCACTACCAGAGCCCCAGCCCTCTTCAGCCGGTGGTAGGTGTCTGGTCTGGCCTGGCCTGGCCTGGCCGGCCTGCCCCTCAGCTCTGCTCCCAACATCTCCAGGGGCAGATATTCGGATTCTTCAGCATATCTGCCCCCCCCTCCCCTTTACTGATTTAAGATAACATACTCAGTTATTTATACCAGACATTCGAGCAGGAATCACCTATCCCTCAAACACACCTGCATGGCTAAGAGTGCTTACGCCATGGATTTGGCTTTTGATTTGTGTCCTTCAAACTCTTTTGTTGTGTGGGGCCAGCAAAGCAAAGTCAACACCTTTGTAATCCTCCTGGGACTCTGCAGGATGAAAAGCCAAACCACAGACCTGCCCTTTCTGCAAAGTACGGATTCTTCTGGCCTCTGAAAAAAGAGGTTGGTCTGTCTTGTTCTTTCGCTCCCGCTTTCATCTGGGTCTCAGAAATACTTAATCACTTGGGAGCTTGGCTCACTCCTCTGAGCCGCAATTTATTTTACTGCCACTTTCTAATCTGTTATTGCCTTATTTTTCATAGTCTTCACTGAGAAAGTCATCAGGCAAAAAGTGCCTTTTATTTGAACAATGGTAGGAACAGTTTATCTTTGAGGTCCTGAAATTGTAAAATATCTCACCGTGTCCCCCTCTGTCATCTGTGCCTCGTCTGTGTGTAGTGTTTGTTTTTCATTATTGCTGCGCTGTCTTCTCATAATGTGTGGCATTTGTTGTTGCTGACTTTTGAAAAAGCAATAAACATGGGGCATTCTGTTCATGTGCGGGCAGGGTTTCTATAAACTCCTTCAATGCTCAGAGTGTGAGCAGTGTCCATTTAATTGAAGATGCACCTATTATGGAATTGCCAATAAGAAAGTTTTTAGTGGAATGAAATGACATGAATTTTCTTTTAACAGGGAGGGATGGTTGATGGAGTGGAGAAGCTTTGCTGGGAGAGGAGGGTATTTCTGTTGGGGTCAGTCCACCCCGGAGATGGAGGCGGTGTTGCCTTGCAGGGGCGTGGCTGTTGGAGTGTGGTTGAGTTTTCTGTAGTCTGTGCTTCCTCAGAAGCAGTGCTGGTCGTGGTGTGGGCTGCTGCCTGGTGCCATTGACTTGAATCCGGAAACTGAGTGAGCTCTTTAGAAACTTAAAGCTGTTGGACTCAGTGACGTTATGTCTGTTGAATCTAATAATAAATTTGGGCTTGTATTTTAAATCATTTTAAAATTTCATTTCCCCCCGAGTTTGATTGTCTTGTATTATAAAAATACCTATTTGCAAAAGATAGCAAATGTAAAAGGGTAAAATAGCCACAGCTCTGGTCCTCATCTCAGGTAGTTTGAGAAGCACCACTCTACAGTCTCAGTGCCGCCTGCACACACCCGTCCCCGCGCGCCCCCCCCCCC